CCCTGAACCCTAAACCCTAATCCTTTCAGGCGCGATTTGCCCATGCCACCTCGGCCTCGTACTACCTCTTCGAGGCTGCCTTGACTTCTGCCTGGGCATCTCGGCGCGCTCTGAGTTTTCGAAAAGTCTGTAGGGTTTAGGGGTTTAGGGTTTAGGGTTTAGGGTTTAGGGTTTGGGGTTTGGGGTTTAGGGGGTTGGGGTTTAGGGTTGTTTGCATTGGNNGGGTTTGGGGTTTGGGGTTAGGGTTAGGGTTTAGGGGTTTAGGGGTTTAGGGGTTTAGGGTTTAGGGTTTAAGGAAGCTTTGAGTTTAGATCCCTTGTTCAGCAGGTCCTTGCAATACGGATGCTGGTATTACTCGAGCTTTTTTACTCCAGAGTAGGTCCTTACCACGACAGGGTTTAAGTGCACACTGACAAGCTTTCCAATCACAACGACAAGCCTTTTTCTTACACTGACAAGGGTTTAGGACGGTCACCCTTTGGGCAAATTTTAACAATCAAGTCTACCAATATGGTGATTCCCCGCGTGTGGCGGTTTTCAGAGCTAAAATCTTCCAAAATGGTGATTCCCCCGCGTGTGGTGGTGGAGACTAAACCCTAAACCCTAAACCCTAAACCCTAAACCCTAAACCCTAAACCCTAAACACGCACGGGAATCACCATTTTGCCGTGAGGTTTTGATGCCTTGTCATGGTGAGGTTTTCAATGCCCTGTCATGGTGAAGTTGTTTTTCTGTCGTGGTGCCAATAGGGTTTATAGGGTTTAGGGTTTAGGGTTTAGGGTGAAACCCTTTTTTCTTGTCATGGTAACAACGTGCCTCATTTGTACTCCGGGCTCTTCTCGCGTGCAGGAGTGCAATACCCACCCAATCGGCATGCAATGAGGGGGCTATGAGATAATGACAGCCAAACACAACACCCTAAACCCTAAACCATAAACCCTAAACCCTAAACCCTAAACCCTAAACCCTAAACCCTAAACCCAAAACCCTAACCTTAAACCCTAAAACCCTAAACCCTAAAACCCTAAACCCTAAACATCAGACAATCGAACCCATCAGACCCCTGAGCCCTAGCCCTAAACCCTAAGCCCTCAGCTAAACCCTACACGCTAAACCCTAGGCCTTAAGCCCTAAACCCTAAAGGAACCTTTGATGGATCCCTCCAAGGAACCCTTGAAGGAGCCCTTATCCAAAGCCCCAATAAAGCCTTTCCTAAATCCCGAAAGAGCCCTGGAGGAACCCCTTAAAGAACCCTTAGTCTCTAGAAGGGGCCCTGGACAGCCCTAAGCCCTAAACCCTAAACCCTAAACCCTAAACCCTAAACCCTAAACCCTAAACCGTACAGATCCCTTAACGGATCCCTCAACAGATCCCGTGATGGATCTTTTATCGATCCCTTAGAGGAGCTCTGGAGGACCCTCTCGAATCCGTACAGTATAAGCCAAAATCGAAAAGATAGGGTTTAGGGTTTAGGGTTTAGGGTTTAGGGTTTAGGGTTTCCAACTTCTGGGGACTCACTACCGTGGAACCCTTCTAGATCCCTTGAAGGAACCCTTACAGGAACCCTTATGGATCCCCTTTTAAAGGAGCCCTTGAAGGAACTCTTACAGATTCCCTTGTAAACAAACCCTTAAAGGAAATCTGATAGATCCCTTAAAGGAACCCTTAAAGGAACTCTTATAGATTCCCTGTTAAAGGAACCCTTAACAGAACCTTGCAGATCCCGGTAAAGGAGTCCTTAAAGGAGCTCTTCAAGGAACCCTGATCGATCCTTTTTCCCTAAACCCTAAACCCTAAACCCTAAACCCTAAACCCTAAACCCTAAACCCTAAACCCTAAACCCTAAACCCTAAAATGTATCAACCCCAAGGATCCCCGGTCTTGCCTCAGGTAACATCAGCCGGGCCCATGATCTTCGACGTGCCTTGGCTTTTGGGAGGGGAAGGGTTGAGGGTTTTGGTTTTAGAGTTTAGGGTTTTGGGTTAAGGGTTTATAGGGTTTAGGGTTTAGGGTTTTGGTCTTAGAGTTTAGGGTTTTGGGTTAAGGGTTTATAGGGTTTAGGGTTTAGGGTTTTGGGTTTTGGGTCTTCGGGTTTAGGGTTTAGGGATCTATGAAGGGATCATGGAAGAAGCGTTTATAAAGGGTTCTTCAAGGGTATTTTGGAAGGGTTCCAGAGGCTGTTTTACAAGGGCTCAGTTGAGGGCTGAGACTGGCTTTCCCACTTAGGGTTGAGGGTTTCAGGGTTTTAGCGTCTCGAGGCTTTGGGTTCAGGGTTTCAGAACCCGAACGCAAAACCCCAAAAAGCTCCTAAAGCTTTAGCTTATCAGGTTCTGGGCTTAGGGCTTGTAGGGTTTGTTTCGCAAGTTGGCGGTGTCTCACCTGCCCAGGTCAGCAGCCTCTTTGCGCTCTTCTGGGTACCATATGCTCCTCGACGGCTGAAGTCGACCGCGCCGTTAAGGGCAAGATGCAAGGAACCATCCCTATGTCTAAGCCCATTATAGGTGGGTAGTTATAAGGTGGGTAGTCTCCCATAAGCCTCCTATACCACTCCTATAAGGTAAACGGGCCTTATGGGAGTCCTTATGGGAGTACTATGGAAACTACCCACCTTGTAACTACCCACCTGTAAAGGTCTTCTACTATGCCAGCTCTGCATCTTCAACCCACAAACCTCAACCCCAAACACCTAAACCTTAAACCTCAACCCCGAGCCCTGAGGCCTTAACCCTGAAGGTTGTTATGGTGAACTTCGCAGTGACGCGCGTCATCGCAGCCCTGTTCTTGAAGTCGACGCTAGAAGTCGCCGCGCGGGAGAAGGAGAAAGTTGCCAGCGAGGCTGTGTCACAGACGTTCAGAGAAGTTTTGGGTTTAATGTAGGAATCTGATGAAGAAACCCTGGCCCCATAACCCCCAACATACTAGGGTTCGTGTTAAGAACCCTAACCCTAATGAAGGCCCAGGGTTTCTTGATCAGGTTCCTATATTCGTATCTAGGGCTATTGCCACGTAGAGGTTTCCGCAAATGACGTTCAGGTTTGATGGTACGGCTGATGGACAAAATCCTGCATGACCTTATATACCTAAACTATGGGATTTATGGTACTATACTATATTTGGGTCATGCAGAATTTTGTCCATCAGCAGTAAGACTTGGCAAATTTTATGGGGGTTGCTTGCAACTGGGGTGTTGGGGACTCGATGAGTCTCCTTGTTCAAAGCTTTTATACTCGGATCGTTCTTGCTAATACAGGGGCCTGAATAATAACCTATACTATTTTGAGAGTTCCTTATTCTAATTACAGTGTAATATACCCCAAAACCCTATTCTAATTAGTCTAATTATATCCTTATTCATGGACGACGGGTCAGTTGGGTCGACAGAACCTGAAGCCTACGAGCCCTTTCAGCTGTGACAGGCCAAAAAGAAGAAGGACAAGGTGGCAAAGCGCCGTGCTCTCGGTGTCTGGCAGTCTCGCGGCCCAAGCACAGCTGATAGAACCCTCTCATCATTGAGGCCTTAAGCACATCTTCAAGCTGGCAGACGCTCGGAGAGGTCAGAGCTCCTAAACCCTTACTCGCTCCGGAAGCCGTTGTGAATCATGCTAATATCCGCTTGTAGCCCTACATAATTAGACTATGATAGACCCAACTGATAAAAAGCCATAGAGCCCCTGAGACTACTAACTGAGGATGGGAGTGGCTGGGAGCTCAGCTGGACGTTTCGGGTTCAGCGTTTAGGGCTTGGGGTTGGGGTGGTTTAGGGTTTTACGGTTTAGGGCTTGAGACTTAAGTGGAATGAAGGTCATCTCATTCCCCGGCCTTGTTAAGGAATTCAGTTCGGAGACCGCATGTTGACTGTGGATCCGTTGTCGATTCTTGCTTGAGTTCCTTCTCAAGGCCTGCATTTCAGGTCGAGAAGTTCATGCTGCTATGCAGCAGCAGTTTGAGGTAGCATGGTTTAGGCGTTCAGATGCTTCTGTCACTTGCTTCCGAGAGATCCTTACGTGAGTCAGGGTGCTGAAACTTTGGTCTCATCATGCCCCCTAAACCCTAGGCCTCTAAACGCTCAACCCTAAACCCCAAACCCTAAATCCTAAACCCTAAACCCTCAACCCTAAACCCTAAACCCTAAACCCTAAGTCCCTAAGTCCCTAAGGCCCCAAGTCCCCAGAGCCTCAGGGTGTGGGCTATGTCTCAGGTGACGGGTGCGTGGCGTTGGAGGATTTTCGGCGGATGCTCGACGAGCCAGATGTGTCGCTTGGCTAACTTCCGAAAGGGTTTAGGGTCTTGGGTTTAGGGTTTAGGGTTTCTGGTTCAGGGTTTTGGGTTTAGGGTTTAGGGTTTTGGGGTTTTGGGTTTTGGGCTTAGGCTAACTGTCGATCTTCTGCAACGAAGTTCACAAGTCCTACGCTCAAACCTTAGGCTCTAACGATGAACACTTATAGTCCCTTGCTTAGTTATAGGGTAAAAAAGACCCTACTATCCTACACCCGTATTCCAATTATCAAGGCCCTTCAGCCTGCACCCCCAACCCTAAACCATCGGTGCTCGATTGCCCTGTACAAGGCGATAGTCTAGGTCAAACAAAGCCCCACCCGAAATTCGCAACCCGAAACCCTATAAACCCTTAACCCAAAGCCATTAACCCTCAACTCCAAACCCAAAGCGGTAAACCCTAAACCCCTAAACCCCTAAACCCTAAACCCTAAACCCTAAACCCCTAAACCCTAAACCCTAAACCCCTAAACCCTTAAACCCAAACCCCATAGCCTTCAGGGCTTAGTTTGGCGCTCGCAGCTTATGGGCTGAGGCTGGAACACCTTGAGGAGATGGAGTGTCCTGGCTGAGCCCCCTAAACCCTAAACCCGTAAGCCTAAATCCTAAACTTTATTCCCTAAACCCTTAAGCCTAAACCCTAAACCCTTAAGCCTGAACCCTAAACCCTTAAGCCTAAATCCTAAACCCTATACCCTAGAACCTTAAGCCTAAGCTCTTAAGCCTAAACCCTAAATCCTTAAGCCTAAACCCTAAACCCCATAAGGTTCCTTCCATCAGGGTGCCTTCGATTCTGTAAGGGTGCAGGGTTTCAGAATGTCGGATTTTGGAGTTTAGGGGCCATTGTTTTGAGAGTTTCGGTGTTACAGTACGGTTTAGGGTTGTTAGGGCTTCGGGATTTCGGTTTTCGGGTCTTAGGTTTCCGGGTTTACGGATTTCGGGTTTCAGGCATGCGAGATTTCGGCAAACTTACGGCCTAAACCCTATAAACCGTAAACCC